GAGGTTAGCTCCTTCAATAACTGTCATCTATTCAACCTTGTCTTTGTTCAATACAAGCATCTTTATTCATTAGACACTTGATTTTCTATGATGAAGAGTGTCAGCAAGGACAAAAGTCAGAACACCATGGGATTGAATCAACAACTTGACAAATCCAAAATTACAGATTTGGCAGAAGAACAGAGGCAAGCAAATGAAAGCAAAGATATATTTGAAGACCTTAAGAGCATAAATGTAACCAAAATATCCTGCTAATAGCTAGAGAATGGTTACATGTTGTGATAAGAAATACATTTAAAAGTAATGCCTCATTGGAAGAAGTGGAAGCCAAAAACCAAGAGTATTATTAATGAAAACTCAGTATAATTTCAAAGCTGCCTTGCTATGCCATTAAACAAAATTTTAGTTGCCCTTGGTAAACTAGGTACACACCATCCTACATACTTAGAAGATTGAGGCATAAGGACTGTGAGCTCATGATCTATTCGTTAAGATAACAGGGACCTGATCTGAGAGAAAAAAGATTACTGGCAAGTTGGAAAACTCATCTGCACACTGAGAAGTTGCATTTCCATTATTGGGTATTTCCCCTCCTCCACTACCTATCTCTCCCCCATCCTTTCCTCTGTTAACTATTGCTTTTACTTGTTTTAGGGCAGTGTCATGCCTTATAGCCAATTCTGGAATTGTATTCCTATGCATAATGCTCCACAACCCTATCACTTCTTTCCCTTATTCGTCCTTTCTTCCTTTCTTTCTTGGGAAAAAAGGTTTTCCTACATTGCTTATGCAAGCCACAAATGACTGTATTCATGGTCTTTCTGCTCCATTCCACTTAAGAAACTGGGTCTAAATGCTGCAGAAACACATACAGACAGCTTACCTGAACAAGGAGGAGCTAATGGCCACTAGACTGATAGCTGGGAAGCCAGCATGGGACTGACTCAGGCCCCCCTGAATATGGGTCTCAGCCAGAAGGACTGAGCAGTCTAAGGGACCTCAGACAGTGGAGCCAGGATGTATCCCTGGTGCACAAAAGGACTTTTCGAACACATTCCCCATGGAGGGATAACTGCCTTAATCTAGAGACAGGAGAGAAGCCCTAGTCCCTACTTCACATGACCTATCAGATGTACATGACCCCAACTGGATGGCTTTCCCCTACATATGGAATTGGGGTGGGGGGGATGGGAGCAGAGGGTGGTTAGAGTGTATGTGAGAGGGGGTAAAAGGGAGGGGAAGGGAGGGAGGGAGGGAGGGAGGAGGAGGAGGGAACTGGGATCGACATGTAAAATAATAAATTAAATTTTAAAAAAATGCTTTGACTCCAAAATTTAAATTCAAGGACAAGTTACCAGGGAAAAGGATTTCTATTTTTGTTTCCACAGAAAATGAAAAGATGTGGATTCCTTCCAGACTAATGTGGTTTGATCAAGCCAGACCGCCTGAAACAGAGTATGAGGTAATCCTACATTCAAAACACCTGATCAAAGCAGCCTTACAGACTACAGCCAGGATTTCTGAATCTTCTTCGAATTCCCCATGACAGCGCCCCTTATCAGCAGGAAGTAGTTTGGAAAGAACAATGCCCAAATTCCCAAATATTGTCTATAAATATTTGTTTTCATTTAAATGGACTTTTTTATATAAAATAAATTTTAAAAAAGTAAAAAAAAAAAAAAGAAAAAGAAACTGGGTCTAAAAGTATGTACCAACATATCCATCTCTGTGATACTTATGTAAAAGACTTAAATTCAGAATTTATAAAAATTTCATAATGCTAATAAGAAAAATAATCAATAAAATATAAAAATAGAGCCATTTCCATAGTTATTCTCAAGAGATAACAAACTTGAAATAAAACACCTACTATCATGACTCAGTAGGGAAAGTGGAGTGAAATCTCAATGTGTGTTTCATGTACAGTTTTTCAGTATCCAATATGCTGCTATAGTCCAGCAGGGTGAAGAAATATGTAACTGTCTCCAGGGAGTTAAATTTCCTGGAGGTGTCCATCAGTAAACTCATATAGACATACGGACAAAGAAATGAGCCTCCTATCCAAATACTAGAGGAAAGAAAGGTCTCAATAATTAGAAAGCTGATATTTTATTTTTGGTTTTTGGGTGTGAGAGTCAATAAGTTACCTACACATTCACTAACCCCTCCCATATTCACCAACCCCTCATTACTTCATGTCCTCTTTCTCTCTCTCTGTCTCTCTTTTTTTTTTTTTTTTTTTGAGTAAGTGTTAAGAGAAATTACTTCTGCCCACACACTTGAGTGGATGTGGGACCACACACTGGAACATGAGAAAGCCACCAGTGCCATCCCCATAAAGAAAACTGATTCTCCTCCCCATCAGTGTTATCAACTGTCAATTGTTCCTCAGTTATGGTAAGAATTGTGGCCCCTCCCCATCCATGCTGGAATGTTGGCTTGTTAGTGTGCAGGTCTTGTGTAGGCAAGCACAGTTGCTGTGAGTTCATAAGAGCATTAGTTCTGTTCAGTTCAGAAGTCACCATTTTTATAGTCTCTCTACCCTTTCTTTCATGATGGGCCCCCAGAGCTCAGGAACCCCAGTCTGATAGCTGGGAAACCAGCATAGGACTGACCCAGATCTCCCAAATTTGGGTGTTAATTAGGAGGACTGGGCAGTCTATGGGGCTTCTGGTAGTGAATCACTATTTATCCTTAAGATATGAATGGGCTTTGGGAGCCCATTCCACTTACAGGGATACTCTCTCAGCTCAGACACATGGAGGAGGGCCTGAACTCTTCTCCAAGTATGACAGTTGTTGAAGATCCTCCATAGAAAGCCTAACCTTCCCTGGGTAACAGAAAGGGGATGATGGGATGGGAGTTGGGAGGGGGACAGAAGAGGAGGGGAGGGTGAGGAAACTAGGATTGACATGTAAAACAATCTTGTTGCAAATTTAAATTAAAAAATATGGGCCCCCAGCCTACTCTCTCTCTTGTGGTTATGTGTATGTGTGTGTTATACATGTACTCTATATGGCTGAGCTACACCCAAAACATATACAAGAGGCTGTGCTCCACTGAAATTTAATTCACAGTAGCTTCTAATGTCCCTTTTATTTCTACCCTTATTTGTGGGTTACATGAAATGTGTTATTTAATTTCAAAATACTCGGTGGCATTTTTCCATTTCTTATGTGACCGAATTCTACATTATTTTGTGGCCAGCAAACACGTGTCATGTAGCTTCAATCCCTACAGGTTCGCTGCTGTACTCTGAACTGAGGGTATGGTTTCTCTAAGAGAACACTGATGGTCCACTGGCCAAAATGTCCAATGAATTGGAGAGTATAATAAATTTGATTTAATCAGTTGCTCTAATCTAGTCAGTGTTTACCTTGTCATATTAGCTACTTAGAAGCAACCATTACAATGTATAACTCTGACTATAGATTTATCTTATTTTAATCGTTTCAGCTTTTGCTTCATACAACTTTATGGCTCTCTTATTAAGTGCACAGACAGAAAAATCATCTATTCTGGACCTGGAATACATTACCCATTGTAAAATGACTCCTTTATTTCAGGATACTACTTGTTTTGACTTAACATTTAACTTTTTAATCCCTTATGTCTTAAAGTGAAGGGGGAAGAAAAAAAACTTCCCTTTCAGAATGGCATGGCTATTGGCCACAACCAATAATACCTTCAATAGCTTACCCAACATCCACCCACTTAAAACTGCTGAAGACTAATGTGTGTCTCTATTCAGCTTATTTCCTTTCAGCAGATGCTCCAGTCTGTCCTTTCTTTGATGCTGTGTCATCGCAGGACTATCGAAACTAAATGATAGATAGGCGTTTGCTGTCTTTTCTACATATTGCATTGTCATTACTGCTAATCTAAAGTTACTGAATTTTTACAATTCTTCTTGAAATTGATAAATTTGTATCAGCTTTAAAGGGAAGGGTTCACATATCAGACTACTATTTTCTATTTGTCCTTTTTTTTTTTTCTTTCATTTCACCAAGTCATTATCTTTATATCCTACAAGAAAGTTCCTTGATTGGATGTTCAGTGCCAGCTAAAGCTTTCAAAGGCCTGTCAAGGGTATTTGGCTTGATGTGTCTGCATAGGAAACAGCTGGGTTAGGGGCACAGTGAGAGGGCTCTGCATATGAATTGTAAGAGCTTGTGTGGACTGCTTCTGTAAGAAGGAATCTGCAGGCAAACACCTTGCTAATGATTTGTTTGTTCTCAGTTAAGCAAGGGGGGAGATGGGGTTAGAGAGGTGAGAAATAAATGGGGGGAAGAGAGAGAGAGAGAGAGTTGGGGAGGGGAATGGGAAGGACATGTCAGACCCAAGAGCCATCTGGCCAGAAGGATAAGACTGAATTTCAAATTGATGTCCATTGTTCTTGCTCTCTACAAAAATGCTATGAGAAAATGCCTGGAAGGCAGATTTTTCGTTGGCTTCCCAGATTTAAAAAAAAAATGCACTTTAAAGATCCGATCTCTGGGTTTTGACAATGTTTTAGACAGTAGGGCTGCTTCCAACTTATGTTTTTATATTCAAAGGGTAATGGCCTCCAATTTAATAGTTTTATTATATGATCATTTTTATTTCGAAAGAAAATCACCCTTCCATTTTTGTGTGGCCTGTTTTTCATTAGGTTAGGACTCAAACAGCAAGAATTAGCTTAGAAATATGAGGTGTGCTCTAGAGAGAAGGAAGACATGGATTTGCTTTAGTGTCTTTATTCTGTACTGGCCACCAGAGGACGATGTTGCATAGACTAGCTGCCTCCATTTCTGCAGTTGATCCCCACTCACAAATCAGTGGCTCTCTGCACCTGGCTGAGGTCTTAGAACCAGGGCCACTTTTACAGGTTTATTTTATCTAAAAGTGGAAGGTGTCTAGTCACTGTGTTCTTTTGTCTTCAAGAACTGGGGTGTCAGCCACTTCCCTGCATGTATCAAGCTTTTCCAGAAAGGCAGCAGTGGTGTTCCCAGTGCTCAGCCATGCTTCCAGTCCTCATCTTGTTCCTGGGGATGCATTTTTTCCTGGGTGAGTAAAACATTCTTATTGTTTGCAGATGCACACAACTCAGTGTTTTTCTCCATTGACTTGTAGTGAGAATATTTTCCTTCGTGAAATCTGCATCACATTTACTGACTTGTTATTGATTTTGCAGGAGACATCCAAGCACAGTCAGTTACTCAGCCTGATGCCCATGTCATTGTCTTCGAAGGAGACTCAGTGGAGCTCAGATGCAACTACTCCTACAGTGCAACTCCTTACCTCTTCTGGTACAGGCAGAGCCCTAGCTATGGCCTCCAGTTTCTCCTAAGGTATTATTCCGGAGACCCAGTGGTTCACGGCTTGAGTGGTTTTGAGGCTAAGTTTGGCAAGAGCGAATCTTCCTTCCACCTGAAGAAAGCTTCTGTGCATCTGAGTGACTCAGCTGTGTACTTCTGTGCTTTGAATAAACAGTGTCTGGGGCTGCAGGGGGAGCTGAACACAAACCTATAAAAATGCTGGGGAAGACTGTAGCTTATTGACTTTAGATCATCCATGATCCTGTAAGTAACCCAAATAAACCTATTAGGTCTCCCAGGCTGACTTCTCTGCAATCATTACCTTGGTCTGTCATTAGTTCTCTATCTGCAGTGTATAGACATTTGGTCACAGCTTCCAGCAAAAGTGACATAGCAAGATAAAATCATACAATGATTCCTGAGCCATGGTTGCTTCCTTAATGGTCGTTAGTAGACTTCCTTGATGTTTTCTACTGACTGGTTATTTCCAGGAGACTTGAAGATACATCTCAGTTCTGCATAAACAATGACTACAGTGGATGTCTATGTGGTGTGCATTAGATGGAGATGTGTTGGTTTCTTCCTGCTTTAGACCACAGGTTAGTGTTAGGAAGTGAAACAGCTTGCACTCACTGCCTCAGGAGCCTCAGAAATACTCTCCATCTCTTATGTTTAGTTCAGTCAACTAGACTCAGAGTAGAATCACCATGAAGAGAATCTCAATAAGGACTCAACTGCATTAGGTTTGTGTGTGAGCATCTGTGGCAGATTTCAATAATTCCTGTAGGGAGATACAGCCTAGCTTAACCATAGGCAGCACCTTTTCCAGATCTGTCCTGCACACTGAGTAAACTGAAGAGTGAGTAGAGCATATCTTGGAAGCATTCTATGCTCTTTGTTCCCCATTATGGGTATGATGTGACAAATTCATTGAAGCTCCTGTTGCTGTGACTCCCATGCTATGATGGACTGCAACCTGGCATTGTTAGGTCAAATGAATCCTTTACCTACTAAGTGATCATGATCAAGCCGTGTTGTCATAGCACTAGCACATAGCCATCCTTATGCCAGCTCATTCCTGCATTGTTAGATTTGGAGTGCAGAGTGAAGAGACAGAAGGCAGGAAAGAGAACACAGTCTGACTTTAACAGACAAAACTACTTCAAACAGTGATGGATAGGCACTCTCTCATGGGAAATGGGGGTCTAAGGAATGAGGGGAATACTTGGAGTTTATAGAGGGGATTGGGATGAGGAATCTTGTGCAATTACAAGGAGCTGCATACAAGTCCATAGACTCTCATTCTTTTTGTTTTCTGCTCATTTAAGACAGACTGTCATGGAAAGCAGGCTGTCTCACCAAAGCATTTCCTCTCTGGAACTCACTGATAACAGCTGGAGCAAGAACAGCTGTGATCTCATAGGAATTCTGTTTGTATGACTGAGACACAGGATCATGTGTGATCAATGCAGTGTTATTTCTTCTTCTGTAATGTGACCAATGTTCCATAAACACACAAATGAGAAGAGGAAAACCCCAAAGCTTTAGACAGCTATATATTTAATATTTGTGAAATATGGCATCCTATAAGCATATTTATTTAAATAAATATAGCTATACTCAAATGAAAAATTTCAAATAAAATTTAAAATATTTACCAATGAATTTGTAATTGTTCTTGTTTTTTGCCTCAATGTTATTCCCTTTCATTCTCTGAAAATAAAGCTGATGAACTTTGTTTCCCAAATTTTTCCTTTGGATTTCTAATATATAAGTGTATGCTATACAGTGTATCTCTGGGGTTTTTAAAATATATTTCAATGATAAATTATTGCATGATGATTGTGAGGTTTGTTTTTTTACTAAAATAATTTGGAGACATGGGAATGTCTCAGTCATAAGTTGGGTTCACAACGGTCAGTAGGTCACCACCAGTCATGTTTCCAAGGTGCTGCTTCAGCCCTGTGCACAGCTCAATCTTCCTTTATCAGTCTTTATCACCTCTCCTCCCAAGTCAAGTGTTCAGCAAAAACAGGCCACCAGACTTAGAAGGACCATGCCACAAACAGGAACCAATACCAACTGTCACAGTTACAAAAGTCACTGTTATATAATTTAAGTGTTCAGACAGGGTTTCTCTGTATTGCTTTGGGGCCTGCTCTGGAACTAGCTCCATAGACCAGGCTGCACTCGAATTCACAAAGATCTGCCTGCCTCTGCCTCTGCCTCTCTCTCTCTCTCTCTCTCTCTCTCTCTCTCTCTCTCTCTCTCTCTCTCTCTCTCTCTCTCTCCCCTCTCCCTCTCTCTGCCCCCTCTCTGCCCCCTCTCTCTGCCCCTCTCTCTGCCCCTCTCTCTGTGTCCCCTCTCTCTCTGCCCCTCTCTGCCCCTCTCTGCCCCTGCCTCTGCCCCTGCCTCTGCCACCGTAGTGCTGGGATTAAAGGCATGCACTACCAACGCCCGGCCACAAATCTTTTATGGTACAGATATATCTTATGAATTGGAACCATGATGCTATAGCAATGTTCAGAGTGATGCAGGTGACCTTTATCTTTACCGGGTTCCTAAAGGAGATTTAGAAAGTTAACGTAACTTTTTCTTGATGGAAAAAAGATTTTTTAAGCCTCTGTTCAAAGGGGAATTTCTATGATTTTATTACAAAGACCCTACAAAGAATGTAATTCTAGCTATTTCTCTGTTTATAGTGCAAAGCAGAAACTTATACACCCAGATGTTTGCTTTGGTACAGGATGTGGGCTTTTAAAATGTTCCCCATGATTTTCATCAAGATGGTTGAGTGGATAAAGATGTTTGTCACCAACCCTGATGTGTGGTGGACAGAGGGACGTGATTACAACAAATTGTCTTCTGATCTCTACATGCACTGTTCTGTGTATATAAACATACATATAAATGTAATAAAAAACTACTTTGGTTGACACATTGCTCTTGAAGATGCCCTTATTAATTTTAATTCTTGTCAACAGTGTAAAAGAACCACTGGGCCCTCATCCCCATTATGGTCCCTCTAAAACCCCTCATAATTGCTGCCTATATTTCCTGTTTAGAATATCTGCACTCAAAGGTCCCTTTCAAGATTGGATACTGGAATAACTCAGTGAGAAGGTTTAACACAGAGGTGATCCTAGGAGAAAAATACACAAATCCTACAGATTCTGTGGGATTAAATAGTTTATGGCAAATGGAAGCAAGGATCCTTTATTTGAGAAAAACATTGTCATGACAAGCCCTCGAAGATTGCAACATCATAGCTATATTTAGTTGTGATGCATTTTGTGATTCTGGTTTTAGTAATTGTGATAGTTATATGGTACCTTTAGCTTCTAATGGGTATTTCAGTGATGGTCTTTTACTTACTATGGAATTGCTCATTTGTTTTTAGACGGGAATAGAGGAAACAAAAGCCAGGTGAAACCACTTAGTACCCTTGCCTTTCACCATTCCTGTGCAATGATGGTCTTTGGAAGAAAATGGCTCTTGCCTTCTCTCTGCCTCCTAAATATTGTGCATTCTTAATCTGTATTCAGAAACACATAGTGTTTCATTTGGCAGTGGAGAAATTCAGAAAACCAAGAGTCACCATGAACAAAGAGAAAACTTTAGGCTCCTATGACATATACAGAGTCTATATCTACCTATCTCATTCAGTGATATTCAGTGAGAAGCATTCTATGTTAGCACATGGAAAGGTTGTAGATCTTGCTTCAAGTAGTAGGCAACTGCTATTACTAGAAAAGAGAGACCTTTGGTAACAGAAACCATGGATGGAACCAGAACTTTATGATGGAATGCACAACTTGAAAAAAATAATATTTTTAGTGGTGTGTGTGAGTGATTGTGTGTGCATGTGTATGTGTGAGTGTGTGTACATGTGCATCTGTGTGTGTGTGTGTGTGTGTGTGTGTGTGTGTGTGTGTATTAATGACTAGTATTAATGACTAGGTACCCTCAGGGACTAGGGACATTGGATTTTCTTGGCTTTGGCATTGAAGTAAGTCACTATCATAGTTGTTGGGAACTGAACTTAGATCCTCTTGAGAGTCTTAAAGAATTTATCAATCAGAGTCATTAATTAGTAAACACACATTTCAAAAGCTGGGGCAGTTGGAGAGTGACTCCATTGTGAAGAGCACATTATTCATCCACAGACAAGTCATTTGTGCCTGTTTCCAGAGACTGAGATTTAGCTCAATCTTTAGTCTCTTCAAAAACAAACTCACTCTGGGAGGATGTGGTCCTGTGTGACTATGACTTCATGGGAGGATGTGGTCCTGTGTGACTATGACTTCATGGGAGGATGTGGTCCTGTGTGACTATGACTTCATGGGAGGATGTGGTCCTGTGTGACTATGACTTCATGGGAGCATGTGATCCTGTGTGACTATGACTTCATGGGAGCACATGGTCCTGTGTGACTATGACTTCATGGGAGGATGTGGTCTTGTGTGACTATGACTTTATGGAACTGTATTAGTTATGCAAATAATGTTGACAAGTATTGACAGGTAAAGATATAGAGAAAGCACAGTTAAGAAGAGAATCTATGGAAGGTACAGTATCAAAACAACAATGGATCTGAAGCTACATGTAATCCAGAATCTGCTAGGTGTACATAGGCCAATCACATGTCAGAGGAAAGCAAATTCACTTCCATGGGTATTCAATATCTTCAATTTTGGTATTTCCCTAGGACTGCAAATTTTATGGGTTTGTCTTAGTTAATTGAATTTTGCTGTGAAGAGACACTATGGCCCAGGTAACTTACAGAAGAAAGAGTTTACTTGGGGCCTAGAGTTTCAGAGAGTTAAGTCTATGTCCATAATGGTGGGGAGCATGCCAGGGGTCATGGTACTGGAGCAATGGCTGAGAGCATCCATCCTGAGACACAACCATAAGGCATAGAAGGTGACAAGACCACACCTCCTAACTCTTCCTAGTTTTACCATCTGGGAACCAAGTACTCAACAAGAGCCGGTAGGTACCATTCTCTTCAAACAGCTAGAGGGTTTGTTATTATTACTAATTTTGAAGTGATAGATACTGACCTCCAAAGCTTCATGCATAGCAAGCTATATGTTCTACCACTGAGTAACACATACAATATTCAAATATTTCCAATAAGATACATGTAATATAAATTGTTTTCTTCTCAAAAGTTTTATCAAGTTGAGCTTCTTATGATAAATGTTTCAAATG